TAAGTATTTTATGGGATGTTTATCGTTTTACATGAAGTATAAAATCTTATTTTATACTTCATGTAAAACAATAAACATCCCATAAAATACTTATTTTATACTTCATATAAAACGATAAACATCCCATAAAATACTTAGTATTTTATACTTCATGTAAAATAATAAACATCCCATAAAATACTTTAGTTCACATACATTAATCACATGGTCTTCAATATTAAAAGATACAAGTGTTCATACAGTAAAACATTCAGTCTAAAAGTAAAAATACTTACAGCTGAAGCTGCTACAGCCACGTCTGACTGTGGCCGTTTCTGTCTAGCTCCAGTTGAATGACAGGGGGAGATATTTCCAGTAGGCTCCTTACAATCCTGTCAACATAAAAAAGGTCAGACTTATTATCAATTAAATAAAAATTAATTAGGTGTCAAAAATTGGATCTTTACAAATCTTCTACAGTCACACTTAAAATAAAGGTTTGTTTGAGATGTGGGGGGTCTCCCTACCTATCAAACCTTTTTTTTTTTTTTACTTTTAAGTGCTATCTGTGGTTTCTTGCAGAATAATATGACCCAATAGAAGGACAGGAAGTGAGAACAGCTGAATACAGTTAAAAACTTTTAGATGTTAATACCACTTCACCAGACAATCTTCACCATCTTCAATATTTATGTTGTAGCCTAGTTGTATCGAACAGCAGGAATAGAACAACATCACATAGTATTTTATACATCATATAAAATGCTGTAACAAAGGCTAACTACAACCTATACATAAATTACTGGTAGTTCTGTAACAAAGGCTAACTACAACCTATATAAATTATTAGTTAAATAATCTTTAGTTAGATTGTAGTTTTCTATGTTGCTACAAGAAAAGCCTAGAATGGAGAAGAGAATCTGATTTTTCCTGGTAGAATAGCCATTACAACATACGCCCAGAAAGTACGCTGATGACACTAGTAAAGAGTAAAAGTTGAACCATCCCCAGGTCATAACATTAATGCCATGTGTCCAGAAGGTGTTATAACCAACTGACTACCATATCTCTGTACAAGTTAACCTGAGCCACTGGATATGCTAGAAATTAAATATGAGTGCTCTTTATGACTTGATCTCAAAACTGTTCACAGAGATGCAGCATGTAAATGGAGCATTAAGTTTCCACTAGGAGGTGTCACTAGCAAAAAAGAGTTCCTGCACTATCTGATGGTAGTTGATAGGGATTTATGATTACAAAAATATTTGTGGTTCAGGTTTAGTGGATCAAATTTTAATCTTATCAACACATGTGTGTACATTTCAAGTTTTGAGTGAATACCAGAATAAGAAATTTCAGAATTTAAATTAAAAATAGATTTCAACAATTTTGATTGTTAAATATTTTAGAATTGGTATTTAAAGATCACCCTACTAGTGATTCTTTTTGGTAATACAGTTTCATGTAGAAACTATCAAGAATATTCTTCCTGATGTGCACCAGATACATTTTTGTTTTAAATTATAACTTCAAACATTTTATTGTCTTCCCCAGAAAGATGCCTCGGAAGGAACTGTGGAGCAACTTGAATCTCAGGTTGAAAGAATAGTATTAGATTTAGTTCCTTTTTTACGTCACCATTTACAGCAAGAACTCACCCCCCAACTGCAGGGGCAACTGTGTAATAGAGTGCTTGGAACTCTTCAGCCTGCCCCTTCACACCCATTGGCACGGTTCTTCAGAAACCAGCTGCTGCAGATCCTTCAACATACTCTGGCTAGGTTCTCGGGGAAGAGGTAAGCTTAGAGATAGAATTGACTGACCCTCAAAGAAAAGTAATATAATGTATTAGGCTTTTAGAAAAGTGGTGTAACTAAATATAGTTTTGCATAAGTATGTTTTCAGGAAAAAGTTTCGTTTAGGTATAATAGAAATTAAGGTAAACTGAGTTGTTACGAATGAGTAAACTTGGTAAGGTTCTTGGACATTGTGTCACTACAGACAGTTAGAGCAGAAAAATAATAGGTATATCCTAAGGTTCTCAGAGTAGTTACGCTTATAGCATTTATCATAATTTTACAGCTAATATTCATTCATTAGTTAGCCAGGCCACATTGATGGGTAAAACAAAAGATGCAGCCTAGCTAACTAATGAATGGATATTTGTTGTAAAATTCTTATTATTGCTATAAGGATAGCTACCAATTTGGTTGCCAATTTTGATTTCATTTCTTTAAGTCGTACACTCAATCCTTCTCTGGCTGCACCTTTTTTTTTCACACCTGAGGTGTTTTTGATTAGATATCATGACTTTTTGTCAATACACACCAATAAATCTCAGGAAGTAAGAAAATGACACTCAGTAGTAACCAACATTAGCTTTAGGATCACAACCATATTATTCAGAACAGATCTATACATTACAGAATCAACCAGGTTCTTTATAAAATATATGGTAGTAGTTTTCCCCCCCAAAAACAGTGTTAACAACTTCCTTTATAATAACGCCATGGAATCTAGATTAACAGTTTCTTGTCATCACCCGTATGCACTTGGAACAGCGTATCAAGCACCATTATTTATGTTAATTGCTTAAGCTAATATCACGTGATGCTAAATGCTATTTAAATAGGATAATCTCTTAAACTTTAGTAAATTTGGGCTTAAAAGTTGGCAATGAATAATCACGTCGACTCCTATTGAAAACCTGAGCAAGAAACTGCTAATCTAGTTTGTTTGGTCTAACCAATACTTGTGTATCTGCAAGTGCTTTCATCCTATAGTTTTGTTGCTGTAAACCAGCCGTCTTTAATCCGAGTTACATAAAACTAAAACTTTACCTTTAGACGAGGCTGTAGTAAAAATTTCAGAACAGTAGCTAATGTGACTTTTTGCAAAGGTGTGTGTACGAAAATTTTGCTCAAAATTGAGAGGTGTTTGTTGAATAGCTCTGCACATTTGGGTTATATTTAGACAAAATTTGATACGTAAAGGTTGTAAAGATCTATCAATGTACCAAATTTGATATGTAAAGGTTGTAAAGATCTATCAATGTACCAAATTTGATATGTAAAGGTTGTAAAGATCTATCTTTATACCAAATTTGATATGTAAAGGTTGTAAAGATCTATCAATGTACCAAATTTGATATGTAAAGGTTGTAAAGATCTATCAATGTACCAAATTTGATATGTAAAGGTTGTAAAGATCTATCAATGTACCAAATTTGATATGTAAAGGTTGTAAAGATCTATCAATGTACCAAATTTGATATGTAAAGGTTGTAAAGATCTATCAATGTACCAACTTTGAAAAAAATCCATGAAAGTTAAGTATGTTTTTGTTTTATCAAATAAAGTTCTTGTACTTTTGGTGTGAAGAAAGAAAGAGAAAACAATTCAGTCAAAATTAGAGATTTCATATCCTGTATATTTCCTTTAACCCTATCACTTCAGGTATCCTTTACTGTGCATGATACAAGGTTTTAGTGACTTTCATTCAAAATTTTATTAAATTACTTTTTGTTTATGTTATACCAATTAGTATAGCATAAAATTTTAGCTAATAATCCATATTTTAATAGTATACAAGTTTTAAGTTCTTAATTCTACAAGGCAATATTTAAAAAATCCTGAATTTCCACTAGTGTGACCCACGTGACACATTTTCTCTTAGCGTACCATCATCCCCTATTTTATCCATCACCCCTCAAAAATTTACAAAATTCGAGGTAAAATACTCTCTATAAAATCATTATTGCTGAAACAAACCATAATTTTTATAGCTGTCAATTTTGTTTGGTTACAGAGCTATCGAAAAGAAAATCAGACCCCACCTGTCACATTCTCTCTTTCAGGATTCGTTCATAGTTCTCTTACATTTCATTATATATTACCTATAACCAATAGAAAGTCAAGGTTTTCATCTATCAAATGATGTATTATATTATGTTGTGTCATAAACAGAGAATTGCCAATTTCTCTGTTAGTACAAGCTTTCTTCCCATAGGAAAGATAATGACTAGCTTGGATGAAATTGTAACGGTCCTTGTAGCATAGTTAGAAAGCCAGAAAAACTGTTATAGTTAGAGGAAATTGTCCACTTTTTGCATGTTGTTATTCTATGTTCTTTGGTGCATTATTTAATTAAATAATAATAATTGTTTAATGCACTACTACCATTAGTATAAAAAAGTAGGGTTAAGTGTCATTAATAGTAAAGAGCAATAAAAAAAATACTCTGGTACGTAGTTTATTTCTTGTTTTTCATGTTTATTCTTTATTTATTATTATAAAAGTAACTAAAATGTAAAAATAGGGATCTCTTTAGGCTCATTAAGGTTAGATTAGGTAAAATAAATAATAAAAATATTTCATGAGGCATGCATGCGAGCAGCTTGGAGTGACTCGTGGGTAAGGTAATTTGATAGCATAACGTGAGTTGGACGTTCTTCAAGTGATTTACTACTTATAATGGTGCTAATAGTAGTTAGACATGGTTCAAAGGGTAATAAAACAATAAAATTTAATTATAAATAGATGTATACTGTTATGAGTTTAAAACTACTTAGGATAAATGAATGGAGTTTTATGTTAGAACTTGAAGTCATTCTAGAAAGAAAAAAGATAATTTAGATTTATTTTTATTTTTTTTAGTTGTTATGAGGGTGGTCAAATTGATCAACCGTGTATGGAGTTAGGGTAGAGAAAATAACAGATAAACTATAAAGTTTTACTAGAAAAAAAACGTTTGAAATACATTTTGGAGGTTTTACGGATCACACAAAAGGAAATTGAGATTTTTGAGATGAGGAAAAGTATCTTTATTTTTAACATGAAAATTACTTTGTACACAGACTAGTCAAAACAAATATTCAATATATTAATGGAC